AATAAAATAAATAAATAAATAAATATATGGCAACAATATGAATTATTGGAGATCTATACAGCTCATCTTATATGGCTTCCCTGGAAAAAAAGATATCTGATAATTGCCTGCATCAACTTGACAACAGGATACTGCCCTCAGGTGACAAAGGGACAAAAGGCCATAGAAGCTATGCTGTTCTGTTGCCTCCTTCTGAAAGGAAGAAGAAGAAAAAAAAAACTCAGCTGCTTCTTTTGACACTTCAACAACTGCAGCAATAGCCAGGTTTATATTTTCCCTAGAGGAGTGTAGTCAGTCACAGGTTGTTGGTAAGCAAAAGAGAGAGAGTGAGACTGACACTGGACTGACTAATGCAGATTTCAGGAGCCAGCTGTCAACAAGAGATATGACCCAATAAGCCCTCATGTCATTAATTCCAAAGTACTGTCTGCAAATTATTTTTCTTTTTTTCTGAAAAAATGAATGTGCAAGCTGTGAGTTTGATTGGTTGTGCACATCCCTTCCCTCTTCCTGATGAAGTTTGATAATGTATTCCTATTCATCTCCAATTCTCAAGGGAAAACCCATCCGAATAATAAATGTATCTGCAGAATGCTTTAAACAAAAAGGCCTCCTGTCATATCTTTCTGTCAAAAGGCCAGTTGTGACATGGGCAGAATATTTTTAAAGCAGATTTAAAAACCAACCAGAGAATCTTGGGCCTATATTGACATGTTCTGTGTTTAATCTGATGATTACCGTATTTCAAAATTTTAAAGGATCATTGTTTAAGTAGCCAGTCTGGAAAGTTCAGGTATTTTTTAGAAATGTTTTGTGTATGTGCCTGCCTTCTTCAATGACTAAAAGACAATATTCTGAAACATTTTCTTGTGTGCATGCTTCTCAGGAAGTCCCTAGCAAAGGGCAACAAAAACAAACAGATAACAAAAACCCAACAAAAGCATTGTGGCACCTTTACAGCATCTAGAGATAACATGCTCCATGTGTATCAAGAAATGCATTACAATCCACAGAAGTTCACATGGACATAATTGTTAATAAATACATTTATAATTTTAGAAGCATCAGAATACTTCAGAGTAACACAGAAACGTCTCTGTAAACTTTAGCAAAGTATCATACCAATATTTTAAAAATATCAGTGATGCTAATTATATATTCAATGGGACATGACAAATCTTATGTCAGGATTTGAACTGGCAGCCCCGCGTCTCTCTTCCTTCTGTGTAATTCATAATGAATCTCATCTTGTGAGAAGTTATGAATATACTGTGATTTTTCTGGGTGGATTCTCATTAGTACATCCTTCTCCTTATGGAATTGTTTCTATCAATAGAACAGGGAAAGGCTCCTCCACCCAAAGCCCGTCTGTGCTCCCTTACTATCTGCTTCAGAAGATACCTGGAGCAGATTTGGAGAGAGAATGTGAGGCTATAAGAGAATAAAGAAGTCTCATTCTGTGAGCAGACATCTACTGACAGCATGTTGTATTTCTTCCTCTGTTTTCATTTACGGTAATTTAAATATGTAGCTGATATGAGTGGTCTTAGTAAGTTTCAGCAGGCCCAGGCAAGGTAATTTCAGTGATGCCATCATAGCTGTTATAATGTCTAGTGGTGGGCTGGGAAACTGCAGAACTCCAGATGTGGTTGAACTTCAGTTCCCATGATCTTTCACCATTGGCTGGGCAGGTTAGGACTAAGGGGAGATGTAGTCCAATTACATCAGGAGATCTGCATTTGATTTAGTTTTACCTGAGAAATGATTGATACCATATATGTTGCTGGATCTATTTTAAAACTGAAACCAAAATCAGAATTTGTCCTTGTTTATATGCCTTTGTAATTTCCCACCCCCAATAAAATGTCAAGAGAATACAGAATTTCACATAATATAAAAAGTTAAAACTAGTCCAGTGTTTTAATAGTAGCGTAAAAATCAGCAGCTATTGGATAAGAAAAACAGAAACATTAACTTGATGATAAGAACATCAAGAATGAAGAAGAAATTAAAGATTTTCGGAAACAAAACAAGGCATCTCATAGAGATGTCTTATGGGCATTTCCAGGCAGGCACCATAACAGAAAAAGATCCTGCATTGGACAGAGATTGGTCTATGGACTAGGATCTCTCTTCTAGATTTGAAAAACTAGGAGATTAAGATGGGTTTCCCTTAAGGTCCAACAGGAAAGTACTCTGTTGTTCTCACATTCATTGTTTGGTTCTTCTGGCCCAGTTTTCACCTATTACAAATCAGCTGCTTATACTTTTGATACAGCTGTTAATCATACAACAGAAAACATATGACATGTTACACTGAAAGACAAGAATCTAAGAATAATAGCAATTTCAGATGCAATACTTAAAAGATTATAGAGGTGAAATGCCATTCTTGTAATTAAAAAAGAAATTTATGAACAAAGGGTTTTTGGGGGTTCCCCCCGAGTTGATTGCAAGAAAGTTGCCATATTTACTAGGTGGAACTGCCACAGATGCAGGTAATAAGGCTTCAATGGCAAGACAGTACACACTTGGAGAGTATTCATTTATTTACTATTCTTTTAAAATCACCTACTGTATGTATAATATGTGCATGTTTAAACTTTATGAAAAGTGGCCCTAATACAAGACTCTGTGATTTCAAATACTTTGGTGCACTTATGTCTTTTTTTGGCAACGAGGGTTTGTAAATGCCACAGATGAAGGTCTGAAGGTACCATGTCAGCAAAATATGTGGACTGTCCCACTAGAGGGGAAAATACCTTGGATCAAGTATATAGTAACATCATGCATGGATATAAGACAAAGCCATTGCCTAGCTCGGGACAGTCAGATCATATATCTCTGTTTTTGATTCCATCATACAGACCTCTTGTTAAAAGAATCAG